ATAGGAAATTGAAGTTGGATTTCCATACTGACCATCGGACTTCATTTTCGCTTCCAATATCATCTCAGAGCCAGCGTAAACTCTAAAACAATCAGCGATCACGTTGTGAGCCTAGTGGATCATCAGTTTGTTTTCAACGGTCGAGAGACATGGAGAGCACTACACTTAAAGCAGTATGCTTGAATTTTCTAATATATTTGCTAGTCCTCGATGCACACTGCCCATACAGGTAGCTGAGGAAGTTTTGCTACAAGGCTCGTTACAAGTAAGCATACCTCCAAAAATGAAGAAGTAGAGTAAAATAGACCTAACAACACCGCTGCCTTGCAACGTCACCAACTTGTCATCACTGACAAAAGCGCTGGCCACAATGTCGGCGAGTCTACGAATAGAAGAAATTCGTGGAGTTACGGCAAACACATTCCCAACTTCATCGGCGTCACAGACGAGAAATTCCTCAGCCGAAAGCCAGCGTACCTAAAAGTGTTACACTGAAGAGATAATGCAAATGAATCTCTAGAAAATGGATCAATGATTCAAAAAAGCTGCTTGAAGACCAATACTAAAATTGTCTCAAAATGCCCTGAGGTTATGAATCCTGTTGTAGCAAAGAGAGCTTAAATTCGGGGTTTTCCTAGCGCAAGTGCCCTAATAAACCTATGTACAGCAATACAATTTATAAGATAAGGACACGAGGCGCGTGTCGCGAAGTAGTTAGAGGTCCATTGCAATACACACGGAGTCAGCGGATGTTGGTTCTACTCCTTCAAGCTCTCTAAATTCAGGAAATTGGGATCAGACTTGTATGGGAGAATAAGACGAACTGATACATTGATAAACTATAATAAAACATTATATAGGTCAGATATGCGCTCAGTCACTACCACAATGCTCAATTAAAGTTGAATTCATGGTGTACCCTTCAGACGTTGCGTAACACCAAATGTTTCACTCCTTACCTCTGCCGTTAACACATAAGTAACTACTTTTTTCAGCAGTTAGTATTCGACATTGACGATGTACCTTTTCTAACCCTAAAGATTCCAAACTTCTTCACAAGGTATTGAATTCTTGCAGTGTTTGATCAATGAACTATCGCATTAGTTGTTTCTACCGCAGATGATGCAGCCTATATATAGCATTCGTCGCCTACTCATTGGCAATTTGTTGTGGTTCATGAGATGTGCTAAGCCACAGTTATATATATTTACATACTTGATACTTGAATGGTCCGTCCTCACTGGTTGTGCGGGTCCCAACACAATCTTCACTATGTATTCTTTCTTTGATGAGCTTACACGAGGTTGATAATGATAACAATCTTCACTTTTCGGAATATCTCTGGTTTAACTATTGTGTTTCCCTGGAGTCCCGAGGTCAGTCTAGCCAAAGTCTGCCCCAGGTCATCACCACCATAGGGTTCCAGCTCTTGTGGATTACAGGGAGATTTGCCAACATGCGGCTAGTTTGATACCAGAACAGTGGTCCATCCTGGTATTGGTTTACTCTTAGTTAGGTTTCCTGATAGAAACGCTTCCTCAACTTGGGAGACCCTGGATGAATGCACCGCTGTACATCGCTCCCCGACACCCAAGAACACCTCCCAGCCACGACGAGGCGGTAAACCATTGGGAGGGACCAATAATACCATTTTTTATACATGTTACTAATACAAAATATCGGAGATAACATTAAGTAATCATCTTTTGGTTTTGTACGGGTATCACTAAAGATTTTCACACATTGTAATTTATATAAATATATATCATCTTCTTTGAGCTCGTCGACTGTTTAAGACAGAAAGACTATTTCATTATATCAAACGAAAATTCACAGGTCGTCTACATTTCACCGTACAGACTACTGCGAATCGAATGAGATTGAGGTACTCTTTAATAGAATACTCCAAATGTATGCAATAGGAACGATTCCAGTACTGACCGCTGTCGCGTGTGTGCTGTTTCCATGGGAAAGCGACGCCAGCCGGCCAGTTCGAGCGTCCAACACCACCAACGAGCCGTTCGACAATGCCACTACCGTCCTATGATCTTAATTGTTTGCGATAAGAAATCACCACAACGACTTAAAACAGCAGTAGAAACACCATTCACCAGATTCTCTTACACAGAACGCCCTCGTCAATCCAGGTAAATTCGAGACTTTCAGTTCACAAGACCACCCGCCTATTCGAGTGTCCATTAGGCTTCAAAAAATTTATAATTGACTATAACGGGTAACGTCTGATGAAAATGTTAACGAAATAGCTATCAAATAGTACATTAACATAAAGCATTGGAGTGTTTGATAGAAGTGGGAAACATGCTGAACTAAATCGGACCAACATCATGACGAAGTTACTACTAAAGAAAGCGTTAAAATGGTTGTTTAATTAGCAAAAAACGCTAGCAGAAAACGTTCTGTTCCATTGATAGCACCTCACAAAATAGTAGAATAACGTTTAGATACCAACCGAACTGTGCTATGAAGGCTTGAAATAGCCGCCATCAAATGTCGATCTATGTGTTGAAGTCCACAGATGGTGGTATCGCCATCCCAGTCCATCTGAGTGATAACGGCACCATGAAATGGATCCCATACCTAAAATAATGCATTATTCATGAAGTGGGTCAACTTTTATCAAACTCGTTCACAGATTTCAACGTTACAGATAGATAAAACGAAATCGAAGATATAGATTTTTCTGGAGACGAGGCAACCTACAGATTATCTAAAAATCCCTAATATATTACTTCAACTGTTCTTTTTTTTCAAAAGAAAAAACTGGAAAACAGAACAAAACGTGAAATTATCAGGAAAATCCGACATGTACGGTCCCATCGGTTGAGGCGATTTGCGTGTTTGATAGTAGCGCCACCTCAAGAATAGATCGTTGGTGTCGATTATAAGTACACTGAGCTTCCACAGTGTCGAACTCAGGTTTGATTGACCATAACCTAAACGAAAGGCATTTTTCGGCTACAAGGTTGCGGATATCAAAGCTCCTATACAAACTTGACAGTTCGGTCCGAAGAAGCCGAAATGAACGAATTCTCATTTGAAAGAGCGACAATCCTGCGAACAGATGAGGTATGACCATTAAATGAACACAACGACAAATGGTCAAAACGAAGCGATGATCTGAAAAATTACCATAAATATTGAAAAAATTCATAGCTCTTAGACTATCGCTATTTTCTGGAATGCGTTCGAGTCAAGTGATCTCCAGCAATTAATTAGCGATGCTTAAAACAAACAGACAGCGCGTGTAGCTTAGTGGTCGGAGGTACCCTGTAACACACGTGGAATCGATCCCTGCGTCTATGGTCCATTAAGCCTTCCATCCCTCCGGAGTCGGTAAATTGGTACGAGATTTGTCTAGGAGGATAATAACACAGGCTCGATAAATCGGTAGGTCACCGCGAGTTATTGTTAAGACCATATATGCATTCAAACACCTCCAAACGATACCTAATGGAGTTGAATGCATGGCACATCCCTCAGAGATTGGTCAACGCCGAGAATTTTGTACTTTATCGCTTTAAAACAAATAGACAAAGTGTTTTAGAATGGTGGAATTCTTAAAAGCTTAAAAGGAATTTCTTAAAAGTCGATTTGAACGAAATTTATTGAACGTAGGAAATAGGGTTGACTAAGGTATGAGGTATTAGTTACCCTATCTGTGAATTCGATGACATCAAACCATTTTTAGTCAACTTCCACAGAAGAGGAAATGAAACAGAACTTAGAATGTTTAGGAAAAGCTTCTGAATAGCACATTTCAGATGAAACCTACTTTCCCTCAGAAGCACAGACAGCCGCCGATATGCGAGCACACCAGAGAGCACTAAGAGATGTGGATTCACACAATCTATAATAGGTCGCTTGTATACAGGACTTATTAAATCTTACTTCAAAAGAAAAAACATAGCTCAGCGTAAATTATCCAATTTGATTCTATACGCGAAAGACTACTGGTACTGGTTTATTGGAACGCTACAGCAACTCAATCAAAAATCACTTCCGCCCTTATTTTCTGCTTTTCTTCCCTTTTGTAAGTTGCTCAAAAAAACCATCAAACGAAGTATGTGTTTACCAGAAAAAAAAAGAATAAATAAATGTCCCACCCTAATCCTCCGATATTGGAGAGATTTGACTGCGACGACGGCGAAGACAATGAAAGCAATCTGTTTCCCGACGAAAAGTTATTCAGCTGATATGTTGGAGTAATTTTCAAGGAGGAAGTAGAATCGGCAACTGCAACTATTCAGTTCAACCACAATGGTGCTGAGATAATCGCGAAACTTAGACCCCGGGCTAGATCGAACCACGATTTCCCTTTCTGGGGGCTCGCGCATTACACACTGCCCCACGGAAGCACTTGCTCTACACTTCTCTTTGCATTTATTCAATTCAATTATTCGTTCATTAACGAAACATATACAATTCTACAAAAACTCAACCTGGTTCTTAGGAAAAAAGTCTTATTAAAAATGGTTTCTTTTGCAACTAGTATAACGAGTGTGATCGCCTTATATTTGAGATGATCTTCTTTGCAGTTTTTAACTTCAACGACGTGAGTAGGCTTTTCAGTCTGAGGTAATGCTTCTAATTGTTCAAAGTCCTATTCAAAAAACATCCCACATGCGTCAGCAGGGATCAGGAAGTTTTCTAAAAGACAGCCACTGGCGTTTAGGTGCGTTAAACATATAAATGATCTGGATTTCGCTTCTAGTCACGGAGCTCTCCAAAATCTACCTGAATTGGGTGTTGGGGTAATGAATAGGAAAAGTTTAAACTCTGGCAAGTACCGTCGTTTTATTGGTACCGTCCATTGGGTGCGATATACTACTCGACGAAATTTGACCCCCCTATGTAAACCTGCCCATCTCTCTTGAACATGTCGAATTAATAATTTGTAACTAGAATTGAGCGAGAAAATTAAAATACGTTGATGAAATAGTAATAACGATGACTAGAGAGAATATCCGCAGCCAAAAAGATTCTATGATGTCCCTTAATTCTAGATACAATGTAAATGTAACAGATGGCGAGTAGCGCAGTGGTAGTGATTCCGTTCACCACAAGTACGGTGTTGGTCCCATCATACTACGGAATGACTAAGCGTCTCATTCCTCCGATGCTAGGGAAATGATAGCAAACTCGTCAAAGACCAGTTCACTTCCCCAATTCACGTGAAGGCGCCCTAGTATGGCCATCCCAGGATACCAAATCGAATCCACTCGACCAGCATTCAACGGTATTCATAAAGAAGACGAAAATCCTTAATAAACAGCCGAATGAACACGCAAAAGTTGGAAGATCTTCATAGCTGACGTATGCAAGAAAGCGAGCCGAATCTGAGCGACATGCCAGATGTGAGTAAGGTCGTGTAGAGTAAAAAAAATGTAGGCGTAACGACCATAATCTTTAACGTTAGCCTTTTTCAATGAAATTAGTGAAAGATTCCGATCAATTCGAATCTTAGATGACGGAATGTTGATGAGTATCTGATGTGCCAGTCACATGCGTCATAGAATTATGCGAACTAGAACTGTACTCTTACAGAGCTTGCTTAGGATCAAAAGGAATAGTGGAATGCCTGTATTCGAGATTTGCGGTAAGTTACAGGACAACAACTATACTAAACCCCAAGAAGAAATTACTACTTTTCGTTTTATTGTGATAAATTGTTAATATCAGATTACCTTGTGAGCTAACGAACGGCACGAGAAAGGCGGGATCTGAACAAAATGAAGACAACAGTGGAACTCCCCACGAGCTCGCAAAGCGATCAATTACCGAAGATACAAACCATAATGGTATCGATGCAACAGTCTAAATTATAGGCAGTCGATATCAAAGATACTTCCTAATCTCAATATAATACCATAAACAATATAACGACAAATTTGATTTCGAATCTAGTAGATGTGCAGTCAATGAATAAGGTATAAGAAATGGAAACGTGAAATTCGTACCCCCAATAATCCTCTTCCTAATGATTCACACTAAGAGAATCGAATGTAGGACCTTTCTCTCAAGTTTCCAAAAAAAATTTCGATTTCAGGGCCGTGGAAAAAGTGTATAAAATAAACTCTTAGATGCGCCATAAACCAGATCAGAGATCTGAACCGTTGATAACTACTCGAATGGCCCATCTTCACAAGTACTGCATGGCCCTGCAACATCTTAAATTGGCTTCTTTCTTGTGCATTTATTCCCTGATGATGATCTGCCTTGTACACGGTAAGCTCCGAGAGTACATTCTCAAATTTTCAGATCGCCCCATTCGCAAATGCAAATGTTTGACGTAAAGAACAAGAACCTCCGCCTATTATTTAAGTAGTATTCCAACAGGATGCTTACACCCTCCAAGAATTCGTTCCACTGTTTTTTCGTCCACTAGTCATCTACCTTGATGTATGACTGGCCATCTATACTTTGCCATTGATGTATGTTCTCCTGGATTCCGAAAAGCGTCGAAGACCTCAGCTGCGCATTCAAACTAGACGTTCTGAGTGTGGGTTAAATTTCAGAAGCCATCGTTCGAGCTCTCTGTGGGTGACGCGCAGCAATCTTGAGGTGGTTAGAATATGAACCCAGGTTTCTGCTGCATAACAGAGCGATGGGAGGACTGTTACATCGAAAAGATGAGCGGAGATCCGGAACTATCCGCTGGTCGATGGCTTCTTCCAGAGAGCCGGATGCGACTCGTACTGCTCTCCTTCTTCTGTCTAATTCCTCTTTTATATTGCTTTCTATGTTCATTGAAGGATCATAGTTTATGTACGAAGTGATCTCCATAATCAGAAAACTCTGCTTCGCTGGTACTTCTTGAAAAGATGACAACGTCATTGGCGAAACGTAGATTTGACAGGAATTTTTCATCGGTGCGTATGCCTTTCTTCTTTAGTCAAGCGACAACTAACGCACTTATAAAACATGTGATGTTGTATTATTTAATAGTATAAAACAATAGTATAGTTTAAGGCTTCCATTTCGAAGTTAACTGTAATATTATCGGACCCTCTAAGTATGCTTCTCTTTATTCTTTCTACCGCAACTCGAAATACAAAGGAAGGAATTCCGGGCAGTTTTTTTTCTAACAGGGATTCATGAGTCCGAAATTGTGCAGTGCAAATTATTGGTGTTGAACTCTTCCGCTATTAATTCCATATCACGGTAGGGTATGGTAGTAGTCCCACCTTCTACGAGAGGCTCGTAGCAGAGTATTACAGTAATAAATGACCCGACAACACTTCCTAAGGAGGCAGATTTGTTGGAGTGGGATCAAGGTTTAGTTTACAGCTTTTTTAGCAACTCTCTAGTGAAGACGAAAATAGGGACTGGACTACTCGCATGAGGAACTGAAGCCAGTTCGAAACAAAGTTTAAGTCACTCGATAAGCAACTTATAGTCCTTGAGCGGATTCCCCTTGATCTGCTCGCAATATGAAGAAAACATCGATGAAAACCTTCTCCCCATATATGACTTGTTCTTTTTGAACGATGATAGTTCTTTTCCAGCTTATGGCTCAATGGGATCTTCGCACGGAGAAGGCGGTTATCGGATTCGTGAGAATGTGGTCGATATTCGTGTGAGTCCTATCGTCTAGAGACTTCTATATCGATCAGCGAGTTTCGCTGTTCTCGAAAAATGAATTCATATGGAAGAGGCGATCTGGGAACGAAAGTCCAGCAAAGTGCTACTCACTTTCGTTTCAATCTCTCATTCCACGTTTTCCTTCCTATATTCATTTTCGTTAGTCCTTCCTAACCTGGGACTGAAGTCCCCAGCAAAGAATTTAGATGAGAACTTTTAGTTGCCAATTATTTCCTCCAACTGATTATAGAACGTTTTTAGTTCAACCTCGCCTGTACAAATTGGTGAATAGCAGTTGATGGTACTGATTTATTTTGGTGCGAAGGTTGGGAACGAAGAATGGCTAAGCGAGACCATAGGATCTCGCATGCGATAATATGACGGGAAACAAATGAGTGTATGATAAAGCCGACGTGACCAACACTCCGCAAAGAAATTTTCCTTCCACGAATGATAAGACTCCTGTCATCTAAATAGCGCACGCCGACCTTTCTGTTTTCGTCTCTTGTAAGGCGATCACATAGTATGTGATGCTATCAATAGCTTCAATGAAAGCATAAAGGTCTGCGT